GCAGCAAAACAGCCCCAGACCATCACACTACCATCACCATATTTTACTGTTGGTATGATTTTTTCTGAAATGCAGTGTTACTTTTACGCCAGACGTAATGGGACACATACCTTCCAAAAAGTTCAACTTTTGTCTCGTCAGTCCACAGAGTATTTTCCCAAAAGTCTTGGGGATCATCAAGATGTTTTCTGGCAAAACTGAGACGAGCCTTTGTTCTTTTTGCTCAGCAGCGGTTTTCGTCTTGGAACTCTGCCATGCAGACCATTTTTGCCCAGTCTCTTTCTTATGGTGGAGTCATGAACTCTGACCTTAACTGAGGCAAGTGAGGCCTGCAGTTCTTTGGATGTTGTTGTGGGGTCTTTTGTGACCTCTTGGATGAGTCGTCGCTGTGCTCTTGGGGTAATTTTGGTCGGCCGGCCACTCCTGGGAAGGTTCTCCACTGTTGCATGTTTTTGCCATTTGTGAATAATGGCTCTCACTGTGGTTCGCTGGAGTCCCAAAGCTTTAGAAATGGCTTTATAACCTTTTCCAGACTGATAGATCTCAATTACTTTCTTTCTCATTTGTTTCTGAATTTCTTTGGATCTCGGCCTGATGTCTAGCTTTTGAGGATCTTTTGGTCTACTTCACTTTGTCAGGCAGGTCCTATTTAAGAGATTTCTTGATTGCGAACAGGTGTGGCAGTAATCAGGCCTGGGTGTGGCTAGAGAAATTGAACTCAGGTGTGATAAACCACAGTTTTAACAGGGGGGCAAACACTTCTTCACACAGGGCCATGTAGTTTTGGATTTTGTTTTCCCTTAATAATAAAAACCTTCATTTAAAAACTGCATGTTGTGTTTACTTGTGTTATCTTTGACTAATATTTAAATTTGTTTGATGATCTGAAACATTAAAGTGTGACAAACATGCAAAAAAAGAAGAAATCAGGAAGGGGGCCAACACTTTTTCACACCACTGTATACACACATCCACACACACAACACGCCAACGACAGACATCACACCTTCCTAAGAAATGCATGTTGCATTATTTAATATTATATACCTGATATATTTTCATTGTCAAATACCACACTACCGTATAGGTTTTAAGAACGAGAGGATTGCTCTACTGATCGCCTCACAGTATAGTGTGTGCCACGACTGATCGTTTCACTAACCCTTTGATCTCCTTAATGATCAATGACCAAGTGAGGAATCTATGTGCAGCAAGCCTATTTTTATGGCGATGAGAGGGGGTTAGGTCTACAAATAGGTCAAAGGTCATCAGATTCTGCTTATGCTAAACAGAAACGAAGAGTCAGCAACCCCATGTTAGATTTCACAGAGGCAAATGCTGATTGAAGAGGATCATGTTTCTATGGGAGCCATCTTAAAGTGACAGTAACTTATTATTTTCTTGATTTGGGAGTGTTCCCGGTTTCCACGAAAATATTAAGCAGTTTTCAAAATGTATAATAATAAGAAATGTATCTTGAGCACCAAATCAGTATGTTAGAATGATTTCTGAAGGATCATGTGACACTGAAGACTGGAGATTGAAATAATAGTTCACAATATTATTGTCTCTACTGTATATTTGATCAAATAAATGCAGCCTTAGTGAGCATAAGATACTTTTTTCCAAAAGCATTCAAAAATATTACCAACCCCAAACTGAATGGTAGTGTACTTCACCACGTAATTGTGTAGCTAGGTCGCTGTACAAGCTACTTCCTCTCAGCTATGTGTTGTAAATTTTTATTGGTCAGCGATCACCCCCTGAGGAGGGGCCAGATCCAGTGCCAAGCCTTACGGTTTCTCTGACGCTAAGAATTTAGTTCCTGCACCTAAGCACTAACTCGAACCCAAATTGTAGAGGCCTTCACTGGAAAGGTTTGTTATTGATCTTTCGCCCCCCTTGCGAGCAGCCTTGAATAATCCGTTTCCCTCTCAGTTATTTTCTACAGTTTATCATGAGCGCTGAGGGGGAGAGAATGGAATCAAGGAAGGAAAACAAATCCATTGTCTTGTCAAAATTCTATTTAACTTCATTAGGCCTCATCCTAGGAGAAGTGGATAATGTCCTCTGTTGATAACATTGGCTGCTATTTAACAGTGCGGTCAATCATGATTGGACATGTTTCGACCCCAACAACTTCATCAATACACAAAAATTATGCATGGCTGCACTTTCATTTGCATACGGAAAAAATCATCTTACATTATCTATGATTTCAGCAGGACAACTTTTACTGCTTTTTGTTCACTGGATAAACAAACAGTTGACATATACTATTTTAAGTGATGAGTTCTTGCTCTGTCACCAAGTTTATGTGCTATTTGGTTAAAGATAGGCAGGGCAAACCAGAGTGAAGATGTACAACGCGCTAGGTCAGCTGCGGATCTATGGCATTACGGGATATATCTGATTTGTATTGATTTAGTGAGGACTTCAATCAGAATTTACTGATTGCTTCCCTGTACCCCTTTGGAGGAGGAAGGGACCACAAGGGATCTTGAGTATTACACGGATATGACTTTTAGCTCTATTAATCCAATTGTGTTCACCTATATATAAACCAGACACTAGCTGGAGTGCCTAGCTATTTTAGGAAAATAATTCTCACCTGTGAAACAAATAGAGGAAGGTGGAGACAAAAAGTGTGAACTAACAAACACTGAAGAAATCTGAGAGAACAAACATTTTTCAAATTAATTCTACATACACATTTTTATGCAGAAATTGAAAGTTTGTGTTCACATTATGGCTGTGCGATATGGACAAAAAAAACCTATCGCGATTTACTGCGAATAATGCGCTGTCACTTTAATTCAGCGCGTGCAGCACAGCAGAAATAAATGATCGCAGCATGACTGCTGCAGACGCACCGCTCCTGGAGCGCACTGCCCGACCGCAATCGCGTGTAGTGTGAACGCTCTGATCCGTTAACATGGGCGTGGAAAAAATATGCACCACAGACGGAGTGTGTGAACCTGGCATTACGTTTGTATGCCCGCCCGGTCTGTTCTGTTCTCGTGCTCCATTTAGGCACGCTGCATTCTGATTGGTTCGGATAGCATACTGCGGCAGGTCAGGGGCGCGGAAAATCGTGCTATAAAGCCATTTAGAAATCGCGCAAGCTCAAATCGCGATTTTATGATGATTTCGATTAATCGCACAGCCCTAGTTCACATAGAAAAATATCAAATCCATATCTATGGAAGAAATCCATTTCAAGCTGTCCCTTCTTCTGTGGAAGTGCTGTTATTACATTACATTAAGTACAAATGAATGGAACTGAGTTCGGAGCGAAACACAAAAAGAAGTGTGATTAGTAAACACAGGCATACAAACATTCAATAGATGATATCAGAGGATCCCGGTACTCTTACTTAAAACTCTTGCACAATATTGAAATCGTCCACAAATGGCGTGGACAAAAGCAGCCTCTGCTCTTTACTTTATTGTGCACTGAAGGTCAGAGTCCATTTTCTTTTTGCTCTGCTGACATTTGGCATTTGATTGGTTCAGCACAGTCTGTTGTTACCATAATTCACATAAAAAGCAGCAAAAATCATTATTTCCTTAGAATCCATTTATGTTCCTTGATTTCCTGCTGGAGTAACTTAGTCTTTGATGCTGTACAGTAGAAAATATTGACTTTTCTTAAATACAGACATGTTTTCTACGATACCATATATTTATAGGGTGATAAATGCATATCACTGTTTAGAAATAGATATTTTCTAATCTTACTGAATAAATCACTGAGAACCTGCATTCAGTGATAATGACATATTCTTTAAAGAGAGTTTACACTAAAATAACCATTAAAAACCTGTATATTCCAATCTGAAAAACACCTAAAAATAACATTTATTGTAATTCTTAAATTTAATAAAAATATGAAAAATCAGAACTAACAACTTTTATGAACAGCATAAACTCATTTCTGGTTTATTTATTATGAAAACATAAATGACCTTGCAAATGTTTTCTTTTTTAAACAGCACGTGAAACAATGCATTCACTACGACCGGCAAACTGGAGGAAATCAAACCTTCCTGCTTCTGACGATATGTGCTTGAGGAATAAAGTTTTTACATTTAAAAATGTAAAAATACCCCCGCCGCTCTGTTTCTTCACATTTCTTCACAAACCACATTTCAATGGCTGTGTTGCTTTTTATTTTAGAGTGGAAATATTTTAGGTTACGGCCTTCTTTAGCAACTGAACCAGACGGAAAAAACAAACCCTCAGAGCAAAACACAACACAAGCTTGTTTTCATTTAAAATATTTCATAGTTCCCTTCAGACCTGATAAATCATCTTTACAGCAGCAGGAAAGGAATCGGGTGCAGGGCAAAATCTGTAAAATAAACAATCCCTGGGATCCAGAGGCATCTGATGCTGTTTAAACTATTAATTGTTCGCTGTTTCTCCACCGCCGTGGCACCAGCAAGCAGAGGACTCTTTTACTGACCTGCAAAACTTTTAGCATGGAGGTGTGGAAGTCAGTTGGAAGTCAATGACATCCATGGCAATAGTACTGAAATTGCCCTTCTTAAATGAGTGAAATGATCAACGGCTTTAAAACAGAGCTGTCTTCTGCATTAAAGTGTCTGCTGTAATTGAGGTTTCTTTCATGAAGGTGGGGAATGTTGTGTCACATGCCTGTGGAATTCAGGCTCTAATTGACCCTTGAATTCATTGCTGGCCATTAAAAACAAAGCAGGCCTTCTATGCTGCATGTGGGTTGTGAACTATATAGGGCACTGGCTGATCAGTTGAGCAGCACTTATTCATGAATTCAGCACTGGATTAAATTGGGCCTTGATAGTATCAAACTTTGGAGTTAGGACAGACATTACTTTGTCTTAGAAGTGGATCGTTGATGCTTTAGCAGCTGAATTAATTCTTCACTCATAACAAATCAGGTTACGTTATGTGTTTTCACATGGTTTAAAGAAAAAGTTTGCGTTCATGCATGTGTTTAGCATCTACCTCTGAATCAAGCCAAGAACTAAACAATACAGAAGTGAATTTTGACAGTACTACACTAGTAAGCAGTTTAGATGACATTTAAAGGGGTAGTTCACCCAAATATGAACATTTTGTCATCATTTACTCACCATTGTGTTGTTCAAAACTTGTATGACTTCATTTTCATACAAGTTTTTATGACAAGTTTTTATGACTTTCATATCAAGAAGATATCTTAAATTAGTTTTTTTGTTCTCACAATGAAAGCCAAAATAGTTTAGAACCACACTGCACACCACTGACTTTCATTGTATGGAAAAAAACAAACAAACAAACAAACAAAAAAACACATTTTTATTTGGGTGATCTGCCCCATAGATTCCACACTATTGCTTCATCTGGCAGAAAAAAAGAATTGTATTTGTCTTTAACACTATCATCAAGACAGGCGTAAGTTCTCCAGACTGTCACTACTGTTTGGGTGGAGGGGTTGTTACAGGGAGGCCTGGGGCCAATAAAAGGGGGTGTGATTGCAATTTGAACAAAGCAGAAAGAGAGCAGAAATGAGGAATGGGTGGGTGGGAGTGATTACTGACCTCCTGAATCAGAGACGAAGAGCCACCGCCACCGAAAGCAGCACTCGAATCTTTCAGCTTCCTCCCTGGCCCGCTGCCTTGGCCTGACTGAACACATGTCAAGGGCACAACTGAAATCATGGGCTGAGATGTACAAAGAACTACATTTGACTCATGCTAATGAAGCTGGCAAAGAAAGACGGTATTTGTTTTAAACAAAGGTCACAACACAAATCATTCTGGTGTTAGTTGCTTTAGTAGCAGACGCTGTACTAACAGGCAAGTGAGTTGGATTATACATAAACATTTGATATTTGCATTCACAGACAACAGGCCTTTCCTTTTTCTTTCCACCCCCATTATGCTCTTACATTCTTCTCCATTTCTATTCATTTTATAAGTCCATTTTTTCAACCCAAAAAAACTGCCTTTTGGACTCCATTATCCAAAAATCTCCTGTGGGATTAAGCAACAAGCTCATTTATTAATGCTACATGTGATCTTTAGCCCCGTGTGTCTCTGAACCAGACTGAATGGGTCAGGCTGAGATTACCCTCCATCTTATAAATGATTCAACTGCTGAGGAAAAGGGTGTTACTACTAGCGTTACATTTTTACACAAAGAGACAAAACTATCTTGACAAAGATATGTCAAACAGACTTAGCTAAATAAATAGATTTGACTGAACATCGCTATTCAGTTTAGAGTGCACAGTAATCAATTATAACTACAGTTTTAATGACATTCCCAGCTAATCAGGTGTAAAGCAAAGTAACAATAAAAAAAAGTTCAGTAGAATAAAAGAAAACTTTTCCATGTAGATTTTGTCCTCACAAACCAGAACAAGCAATAGAACATGTATCTTTGTTATGTTATGCAAGGGCTGCACAGTTTGGGAATCTAATCTGAATATAATTGTGATTTTTCTGATAAAAAAAAAAAAAAGTGATTCTGATTGAAAATGCAGGTTGTCTGTGCTTGTTTGTATAGATGCACAATTTTGCCCCAAAAAATTAAGATTATACTCTATAATAATATGACAATAAAATAATAATAATAATAACAATAAGAAGAATATATTTCACTGTAAAACAATAAATACTACATACTAATATTTATGTAGTCTTAATTGTTACATTAATTAGTGTTAATTTGTTCAATATTTCTTCATTTTGAAATGATAGAACTATCAATCTTTTATTCTGACAGAAAAATGCCGGGAGCCCTTAAAGCTTTTCTTTTGTTGACAACAGATGGTTTATAACTGCGTCTCATTACAAGTATGGGAAGACAGCCAAATTATACAGCGTTCCCTTAAAAGAGATTAGTCAACTAGTCTTTCAGGCAAACCACCAACTAGTCAGTTTTGCACATCCCTAACATTAAAATGCATCTTCATAATGTGATTGTATTACATCACACAGCCATTTCATGCTTAGTGTGGTCAGACAAATTGCTTGTCACTAGAAACTTGTTGTATCACACCTAGTTAGAACATAGTGTAATACGATTGTGTGCTGTACTTGACCAAACCAATCAGGCAGTAATAAACCCATATAAACACAAAGAATCTGTGTGTTGAGTGGGAAATCATTAGGAAGGTTGGATGTGCAGAAGAAGTTAATCCTGTAAAGAGAGTATCTGATTCTGACCGTCAGCCTAAGACATTCAATGCTTGATTCCTCCCTATCTTTCATTACAACTCTTCACTTTAATGAACACTGACACGTGAGGCCATATGGGCCAAGACTGATAACATGAGAGCTCAGCTGCTGCCTGCTGCCATGCAACACACTGTGTCTTACTGATACCAACCGAAAGAGAAATGAATACACTTTAAGTAGCACCAAAAACCAAAATGCAAGGCCAGTGCAATATGATCTAAAAGTGAGCTTCAGCTTAGCCTAAACGTACCGCAAAAGATTAGACATTCCTTCACTGACCATTACTCTTGAACTGAAGGTAAAACAGCTCTGTATGTCCATTAATAGCTAATTTACTTCAAGTTCCTAGAGAAATGTATGATGAACCTTGCACAGAGTGCGCAGTAAATGAACTTAAAACAATATATCACATGCACCACTAGTGATCATAAATGACACTGCTGCACTCAATATGAGAAAAAATTACTGCACCATATTCAAGCATGTCAAAGGTTAGTCACTGTACAATCTGAGAATGTTTTTACTGGCTCAGGTACTGTATATAGACTATCTAGCTGAAGTGAACAGAACAATTTCTTTAGCCTATATCCTGGATATAATGTTTGCATAGACTATGCCTGGTAACCATGATCACAAAGTGTATTGTGAAATCAATTTACAATGACTCACTACTAATAAATGAGCACTGATATTCCCATGTTTCAGACAAGAGTGATTGAATGTTTCTCTTAATAAACCTAGGTGTGCTTATCAGTATGTTCCTGTTCTAGAACTGATAAAAAGTACACAAAAACACATTTTACATCTCAACTAGTTATTCCACTGCAAAATCCACTGTTCATATAGGCTGCTTTCTGATCACTTAACTCCAGCATACAGGAAATCACGCAGGGCACATACACTCTAAATGATGCCATGTGGTCTTGAACTGCTTGAAATCACACCTCATTCTTCAGATTAAGGGCAAAGTGTTGAAAAGCTATGGAGACCATTAACAGGATAATGGTATGTACTACAGTACCATGCAAAACATAGAGTATACTTTGATCCAAAAAGTTGTTACTTCTTATAAACGCACTGGAAATATGTTGGGGGGGGGGGGCGTCATATTAGTATTTGCTGAGTTTGTTCATTACCCTTTGACTTTTCCAAGCTATAACAGAAAGTCCAAGTTTCTTGCTCTTAAAATGTGACATCTATATTAAAGAGGCAAGCCAAACTAATCAATCCCCCTGCATGGTAAAAAAATTTTGTTAGGTAACTTAAAAATTGTGCTTCAGGTGTGACACTGGACCACAAAACTTAAAGGTCTTAAAGGGTTAGTTCACCCAAAATGAAAATTAGGCTGCATTTTACTCACCACCGAGGCATCCTAGGTGTATATGACTTTGTTTAAACCCACTGGAAATATGTTGGGGGGGGGGGTCGTCATATTAGTATTTGCTGAGTTTGTTCATTACCCTTTGACTTTTCCAAGCTATAACAGAAAGTCCAAGTTTCTTGCTCTTAAAATGTGACATCTATATTAAAGAGGCAAGCCAAACTAATCAATCCCCCTGCATGGTAAAAAAATTTTGTTAGGTAACTTAAAAATTGTGCTTCAGGTGTGACACTGGACCACAAAACTTAAAGGTCTTAAAGGGTTAGTTCACCCAAAATGAAAATTAGGCTGCATTTTACTCACCACCGAGGCATCCTAGGTGTATATGACTTTCTTCTTTCAGACGAATCCAGTCGGAGTTATATTAAAAATTGTCTTTGATCTTTCAAGCTCTATCATTGCAGTCAGCGGGTGTTGCATTGCTTCAGTCCAAAAGAACTTAAAAAAAATCGCCCATCCATAAAAAAAGGTGTCTCACACGGCTCTGGGGGGTGAACAAAGGCCTTCTGTAGCAAATCGGTGCGTTTTTGTAAGAAACATATCCATATTCAAAATGTAATAATCACTTTAATGTAGCTTGCGCCAACAATTGCACACGGAAGCAGTTCCGGGAGCATGACGTATGAGTTCAGCGTTGCGCATTGTGCATGTGAGTCTCGTGAAAACCAACGTTTGTTTACAGGATCAAAGGAAGCAAAGTTTCCTTACTTTGGCAAAGGAAAACCAGTCCCCTCTTGACTTATATCGAAATCCTCTAACATTCATCTTTACAAATCCTCATTTTGTACTTCTAATTAGTGACCGTTGTTTTGTTTTGATCTCTCCCCTGCGCTTCCGCATGCGTCACTTCTGAGCGGCGCATGCGCAAAGCCGACCTCATACGTCATCCGCCCGGAGCTGCTTCTGTTTACAACAGTGAGCGCAAGCTATATTAAAGTGATTATGACGTTTTTAATATGGGTATTTTTCTTACAAAAACGCATCGATTCGCTACAGAAGGCCGTTGTTCACCCCCTGGAGCTGCGTGAGACATTTTTTTTTATGGATGGGCGATTTTTTTAAAGTTCTTTTGGACTGATGCATGCAACACCCGCTGAGTGGCATTAAACAGCTTGAAAGATCAAAGACCATTTTTAATATAACTCCGACTGGATTCGTCTGAACGAAGAAAGTCATATACACCTAGGATGCCTCAGGGGTGAGTAAAACGCAGCCTAATTTTCATTTTTGGGTGAACTAACCCTTTAAGTCGCTGGGATATATTTATAGCAATAGCCAAAAATACATTGTATGGGTGAAAATTATCGGTTTTTCTTTTATGCCAAAAATCATTAGGATATTAAGTAAAGATCATGTTCCATGAAGATATTTTGTAAATGTCCTACCATAAATATATCAAAACTTAATTTTTGATTAGTAATATGCATTGCTAAGCACTTCATTTGGACAAATTTAAAGGCGATTTTCTCAGTATTTTTATTTTTTTGCACCCTCAGATTCCAGATTTTCTAATAGTTGTATCTCTGCCAAATATTGTCCTATCCTAACAAACCATACATCAATGGAAAGCTTATTTATTCAGCTTTCAGATGAAAATTGAGAGTTTATAAATCTCAATTTCAAAAATGTACCCTTATGACTGGTTTTGTGGTCCAGGGTCACATATAGTCTAAAAAAATAAACATACTATGAATAATTTTAATCATTTTAAATGCTACAAGTGAATTTAGGAATCACAATATTATAATGTACAGTATGAAAATTTTTTTCTTTTTGAGATCTGCTAAAGATTACATTTAATAGTGTTATTAAATTATTAGTGGTTTTAAACGTAAGTGAATTCTATATCATGGTAATGGTAATGTGCTATGTGGTCAACAACTGCCTGAGATATATACTGGTAAGATACTGATATATTGTGCATTCCTTGTGAATATATCATAGTTATACCAATACAAGTGTAACATATTACAGTAAAAATGCAAAAATTAAAAACGTTTTTAAATAAAAACATTTAAGCACATTTATCAGCCTCTTGCTCAAACTACAGTAAAAAAGTTGCATACATTCAGAGTTTGAGTGATGACCGAGGCAGCAACAAACAGGATTAAAATGGAACGCTCTCACTTGGACGTGTGACTGTTTTTGTTATTACAGTCAGCGAGTAAGATGTTGACATAGCTCTAGCTCTGGGTCTGTTACCAGTTCTGAATGTTCAGCATGGTTAATGTTCGGAGCAGGATTATCAGATCGCCTGCTGATGACATGTTCAACATGGATTTATAACAGGCCACCAATTGGACACAGCTAAAGCAGGCTCTTATTTATAAGATGATCTAAAACCGAGAAGACTGGAATTCTATTAAATATTTCCACTGACAGCACACGTCCAAAATGAACCTGCCACAGCTGTCAGAAGGCCTGGGTTAGCTCATACCACAGAAGGCTAACAACATTAATGCTAGGTAAAAATCACAACCTCTGTGCCATATGGAGAACTGGCTCCATGCATGTGTTTTAGCTTGAGACGACTGCATGCTGGGGAACTTTATGGCTCTCAGGACCCCAAAATATGTGAGCAAAGCAGTGTAATCAAACAGAAGGGGATACCGTAGGGGTGGAGCAGGCCTGTAAAGTCAAGGAATGTCTTGTGTTGACACTGGAGTTACTGTGTGTGTGTGTGTGTGTGTGTGGATTTCAAAGAAGGGGCCCCAAGCATTTTTATAAAGGTATAAATGGGCTTGAATTCAAGTGTGTTACTTGAGAAGACTTTAGGACAGCCCATTTAAATATATCAACAGACTATCCACAGTGGCTCATGGGTTAGGGCTGTGTTGGCTGCACATAGCCTCTGTCTCTCACTTCCACAAGTTTACATTTTTTTTCTTTTCACAAAAGTGTCCAGCGAAACAAAGAGGTGTGTATCTTTAAACCCCTGCCCAATGACAACGTTTGTTTAACCACAAAGACTATTTTGCCTTCCTGTCTGGGGGGCTTTGTCTTCCTTTCAGTGATTTCACAATTGCCTCATTTCCTATTTTCTCCAAGAGATGTTTTGCTTAATTGTGAGTGTTTTCGAGTGAATTAGGTCATCACTGGCTGCCTCGATACTCATTCATCTCTTTTCAACTGCATTTTAAACATTCAAAAAGATCACTCTGAATTTACACAGGTTTCTAACAATTATTTCTAAAAGATTAAACATCCAAACTGTCTCTTCTTAACTCAGAACAAACTAAACAAAATTTAGAGAGTGCTAATACCCTCTGAGTCAAAAGACAATACATTAGTAGACTAATTTTACTAAAGTGGACTGGAGTAGCAAAGACAACCCTCCCTTTCCACAAGCTTATGTAGTGAAACCTAACACCACTGCTGGGTTTCCTCCACACCGTTCAGCCCTGCCCAGCCCCCTCTATGGCCCTGTAAAAGCCTTGTTATGGGAAAAAGCCATTCTGTGAGTTTTTTTATGTTTGCAAAACATGACAGAGAGAGACAGAGGGGGGGATCAAACATATTCCCTGAAACCAAAGTGGAGGTCAGACTGAGCAATCAAAAGATGCTATTTGCTGAGGGGGAAAAAAAAGTACACTCTGTATTTTAGTGAACACATTTAATATGTGCTTCAAACAGGTTGAGATATAGAGCCTGCTGATCCAGCATATTAACTCTAAATTGGAATAAAAAAAAATTCAAAAGTTTGGTGTCAGTAATATTTTTTATTTAATGAATGCTTTTATTCAGCAAGGATGCATTAAATTGATCATATGAAAAGCAAAGACTTTTATAAAAGATTAGCTATTTTTTAAAGAAATACAATAAATCTTATCTTACAAAATGTTTCTTCGGCACCAAAACAGCATATAAGAATGATTTCTGAAGGATCATGTGACACTGAAGACTGGAGTAATGAAAATTCAGCTTTGTCTTCACAGGAATAAATGACATTTCAAAATATACTAAAATAGAACACTGTTATTTTAAATTGTAATAATATTTCACAATATTACTGTTTATATTTTATTTTAGAAATGGAACCTTGGTGAGCATGAGACTCAAAAATATTTTAAAATCTTACTAATCCCAAACCTCAATTATAAACTCAAATATTACTTACGTTTTTAAACATAACATTATTAGAAAAATACAGCTTTAATAAGTTTGCTATATAAAGTATATAAAAAACATAGTGCAATGTAATGCAAAAATAAAAAATCCCTCTGGTATTTCAATGCATACATCTAACAAACACTACATAAGCAAAAGTGAAAGTGCCAGTAAATATTTAAGTGTGCAACAATGCTGGTCCAAAATGTGATTCTCTTTGTGGACACACACACACACACACACACATACACGTAAACATGTTTGTCTGGCTAGATTGTAGTGAAGTATGCAGTTTGTTCCTATTTCGTAATGGCTTGGCTTTGAGCCTACCCATATGCAGCCTGAGAGGGATATCCCAGCATTATTGGGAGGGAGCCAGGTTGGAATGCCACCAGGTCTAGTTTCCTGCAAAAACTCTACGCAACTACTTGCCTTTTTTTCCTCTCCCCTCACTGTTTCTTTGACAATAAACAGCCATATGGCAACCGGTTTAACTTTGTCTCTTCCGATCCTTTGCTGTCTGGCTCTCTCTTCTATCTATTCTGTTTTCCTTTGATGAATGACTCATTTGTAATATCAGTGCAAATGAACACATCCAGCTTAGGCTTGACTAAAACAGAAATGAATTTATAATATTATAAGAACTTAAATTTGGTTTTCATAATTGAGAGTTATTTAGATTTTTGGGTTTAGTTTTAATTAAGCAATACTGTACAGAAACATAAATGAAAGATAATGAAAACACTTTTTGACTTATAAAATTATTTCCAAGCTAAGCAGTAGTCTGTATTTAGTGTTTTAATTACTTTTGCAAATACAGATACAAGGAATTTGGTGCCAAGTAATGGTAATGCCAGTCTATTTTTACATTCCCCTAAAAAGCCTTTCTTATTTTAAGAAGCTATTTATAGCATTTAGACAGTTTTTTTTTTTAAATGTTGAAAACAGGCAGTACAGTGGCTCCAGTCAGTCTGCCAAATGCTATCGACATCCTTACATTGTTTCTGCATTTCACTTGATTTGTCCAAATAGCTCAAAAGCGATTACAAAATGCATGTTCTCGACTTCTGCAAAACCAAATTAATCGTGTTGTGTAACACTGTCCTCAGTTTTTTTAAGCAAATGTTGTGGTTGGTATTATTCTTATATGATCAAAAAAAGTACATACTGATTTGTATTTCTTGTTAAAAGTCCTTTATAAATCTAAGAGTAACACACAACTTCTGGAAATGAAAACCAAACATATAACATCACATTATTAAAATAATGTTGAATTTATTTGAGATTGTTTTTCTCCATTTCATAACGTTAAGTCAAAACAGCTGTCCTTATTCAAACTGCATTGCACCCCTTACGTTAAGCCAGTGCTTACACTAATGCAGCCGCTAATGTGCATCCCTCATTTGGACAAGCCTCTGAATGATCTATCATAAATAAGGAATGACAAGTCCATCCAGGCTCATTCTGTATAGATCCGTGTTTGCTTAAGAGCCTCACTCTCAGTGTATCACTCTAAATTATCCTTTGAGAATATAGTGGAGCAAAACTGCTGCAGCATAACTATGAAACATTCTTGTGCATAACCCTGAATTTCCAGTGTACAGGTGTACTGTACAAGCAACCTTGAATAACTAAAATGTACCCATACCGAAATGGTTTTAAATAAAACAATCAAAACCAACTAACCAGACTAATATTTTGCACTTGTGCACATTATCAGCAAAGACTTTAATAAAAACATATTTGCTCTTTAGACCTAAATTATGAAATGGTGACTATTTAAATATTTTAAGCAATTATTTAAGCAATGAATCATTTTTTTGCATCATAATTAAATTCAAAGTAGTTCAAAAAGTGCAATTACTACAGGTTGCAATTTTGATTTTACATAAAAATGTAATGCAGCAAACTTTTCGAAATTTTTAGTGCAGAGTCTGCAGTCTGTATGTCTATGTGCTAATGAAGAAACTAGACACTGAAGCAGGGATTAAACCTGATATAGTCTAACTTAATATATAATGTCAATGCATGATGCAAGTGTCTGGACAGTATAGTTTTCATAAAGATTAAGCATTAAAGTTTTAGCACTGCCTAAAAGCCTGTTGTTTCCATTTAATAATTCAGTTTTTTTTTTTATGATGGCAACTAGCAACTAGCTGTTTCGTTCTGAATGATACTGGGGCTTATGCAAGTAGTTTCACAAAGGATTGAACACAATCTCACTTCATGCTTTCAAACTTTACACATTAGTAATCACCAAAGAGTTCACCAGAGTGCACATTCAAGGGTTATGGGAGAGCATTACATGAACATACCTGTTTGAACTGCTCCTCATAAGTCCATTCGTGGTGCTGCGATTGGGCTTGCGGTGCCAAACCACTCGGTGATTCAGCCTGTCTAGGAGCTGGATAGGTTGGCTGGACTCTGGACAGATGTATCGGGGTACTTTTTGGAGACTGCCCGGCACCGGGATAAACAGCATGGCGCGGTGGGTAATGAGCTAGGGGTCCTTCCAAATCTTCATCCCCTCCAGCCTCATTCATACTGTCATCTTCCTCCAAGTCGCGGTCTTCATCATCCATGCCGCGGTCCAGGTCTGGGTCGACATCATCATCATCGATGTCGGAGTCGGCTGTGCGCTCGTGTGGCTGGCCGGAGCTCGAGTTCGGGGCTCCCGCAGCGAACGCTCCCCTCACCGCTGCTTGATAGTGGTGGAAAGCGATAGCTTGCTGGTGAATCTGCGACTCCACCATAGATCTGATTTCTTTCTCCTTTTCGGCTTGGTGGAGTTTCTCCTCCAGGGCGAGTCGAGCCGCCTGCTGTCGCTGCAAGTTCTCCATGACTGCCTCCAGCTTCATCCCGCCGCCGCCGCTCGAGTGACTGTGAGCGCCGGAGGAGCTGACCAGCAGAGGAAGAGTGTTCGCCGACGAGAAAGCGGCTTGCTGGGGGCAACAGAATGCAAATGTCACTACAAATTTTATCTGGAAGCATAATTACGGGTAACTTCGAAGAGTCAGGCCCACTTATTTAAGACTTAAACCTCCTCTCCTTAAAAAAACAAAATAGTTTGGGAGGGGGAAGTGGGGGGTGTAAAGTGAATATTATTTTTCATACAAACAGTTGGCTTTTTTAGTAAGTATAAAAGTTACATTTACAGTTAGTCAGAGCACGTATTTTCAGCTATCATCAAAAAGGCGGTAACGAACAGAAAAGTTCGTCAGAGGAGGTAACCAACAACTAGGCCTACGCTGTTCATGCGCTACCCATTACGATTCAGGCGGTAGCCTACAATAAAGCATATAAATATTATGTATGACATTATTGTACTTTCACATATCAGAACTATAATAACAAAATCTGTAGCTTTTAAAAGTTTTTTTTTTAATTGATGTTTAGCTAATGGTAAAATAGTGGCGCCAAATAACAATTCGCGGTGCGCAAGAAGTGCCCCGCCAGATTGTTCACGAAAATTACATTGACATTTTCTAGATTAGCAGAATAGATACGCCAAAAGTAGGCTATATGTCAAAAATCCTTAAAAAGTAGCCCTATATGTCGAACCTTAAAGTGTATAATTCGCATAGTGGTTGTGAATTAGCCTAAAAAAAAAGAAAAAAACAAAAACAATTTATACCTTGAAAAAGACAAAACGTATAACTGATGCACAGTGCCAAAATCCTCTCATCATTGCCATAACAACTTTGTTTCCATCCATTTAACTGGTTAGGCTACAGCTAATTTGTTATTTTTACTCGATTTTACTCTTTAGTGAGCTAATTAAAGTAGTCGGAAAAAGTGAACTCATCACCAAAGGGAACTTCGGCACAACTTTTTTTTTTTTGCGTTAATTTTTCTTATAATAAAATGTTCAGATAGCCTAGTATTACCGAGTTCATAAGATAAAATTACTTATGGAAATTACCTATGGAAATGATTCCACTAACAGGATCGACTACCAGACGGTCAGCATTGTAATTGCACGCAATGTCACATTCTCATCACCAAAGGGAACTTCGGCACAACTTTTTTTTTTTTGCGTTAATTTTTCTTATAATAAAATGTTCAGATAGCCTAGTATTACCGAGTTCATAAGATAAAATTACTTATGGAAATTACCTATGGAAATGATTCCACTAACAGGATCGACTACCAGACGGTCAGCATTGTAATTGCACGCAATGTCACATTTCTGATGTGAGCTTAAAAAAAAAAAAAAAAACGACCTCGAATTTTTTCAGTGACAGAAACATGACAATAAGCTATATTGTATACGCTGTGTTGCTAGCTATAAATCGAAGGGCAGCGTAACACAACGTGCGCTAGTGTATAAACATCCAAGTGCACTAAATATTGAATTCAATGATCTAAAATGAAGTGACAAGCTAAGCATAACGATATCTATAGTCTACCTGAGGAGCAAAAGCGCGTGCTTACCAGTGCAGATTTAGTTGCTATGCTTGTGTTGTCAACCATGCTTCTCCCGTCAAATGCGACGAATTTGCTCAACAGTGACCTTTTTCCCCAAACAAACTCAGAAGTGCTTGTATTCCCGTCCCAGCATCTAGATGTGTGTCGTGAAAGCAAAGAAATAGCTCTTTATGGAAACGGTTTCGCGACGCGCTCGCGGTCTCTGAGCGATTTGGCAACAAGTGGCTGTAACTGTAGCGAGAATGACCTCTGAGGACTAAAGATCAGATCAGTCCCTCTGCCTCCATCTGCTCTCTACACGTCAATAGACATGGATATAAGGCAATCAGGGCAGGGTCTGCACTAAGCCAACAGAAATACAGCTGAGCAGCGAATACGACCAGCTTCCTGCGCGCGCTTCTCTTCAAATACACCACTTTAAACTTTATTTGAAACTCATCGAACGCTTAACAATCTACACATTTTAACTTAAAACGAATGCTCCGCCTTTAAGAGTCCAAGGTGTAGAAAAGGTGGAAAGATCTATCCAGCAGTTTAAGAGGGCTTTGCGTGCGTGAAACGCAAATGATAAAGCAAGCTAGTAATTATAGCCTAATCTTACTCGCGTGTTGTTCCTCAAAACAAATGTCCGCATACATTTACAGTTGGTTTTAAGGTTTTACGTATGTTGAAAGCATATTTATATGATATATACACTAAAATATATTTGACATATATTACAGCATTTTCAGTTTGATTTAGCTTACTGGTTAAAACATTCATGTGCATGCTGTTTATGGCCAATTTTTTATTTTTTGCATCTGAAGAATTCTCTGAAACAGAATCCTCACTCTCTCTATTAACAATGCATTAAACATGAGGTCACTGAAAATACAAAAACTCCAGATTTGATTTTAAGATGTGCAATTTAGGCACTGATTTTCTTAAATTATCATTTTTTTATGTATAATATGCAGCTAATGTTCACTCATGCAGAATAAAAGTCCATCCACTGCATTACACCAGCATGTAGACGGACTTAAATAGTACAGATAAATATCACTGAGTGTTGGTCTTCTGTAAATACACCCTTCTGACTGCAGAACATATAATTGCCATTCACCATTCCATTATCCAAGATTTGTAATTATATGAACCGATAAACAAACTTATGATTGAATTCCATTTAATTTCAGAAAAGTATATTAGTCATTACCACAGTTCTTAGGGTTTTAGACAATTTTGCAGTAATGAAGCCAAAGGTGCCTTTGCAGCATCCTCAGAATCAAGGCTGACAGACAGACAGACAGACAGATAGACAGATAGACAGATAGACAGAGAGATAGATAGATAGATAGTTTAACTGTCATATATTTGATGTCTGAATTAGTCCATATAGCACTGAACAGCAGGCAATTTCTCCCATGACCCCCTGCTCTCTAATTATGATGAAATAACCTATTATCTTTTGACCCCAATAACTCCTTAAAATAATTCTGTGTTGCTTTATGCCCTCAAACCATTGAGCAAAATTGATAATCATTTCACAGTTACAATCCATTCAAGTTAAAGCAAGGCTAAGGTCTTGCACTGACACTGATAAGGTTAGAATGATGGTTAATAATATTTGACACAGTGAACTGTGCTCAGAGGAATTTCTTAATGACAGGTTTGAATTCATACACTTTACACAATACTTCGATTATAATATTTGCATATCTTAGAACAACAGTGAGACTTTTTAGTTACAGCTAAGATATGTTGGGACACATGCCAGAGATCTAATGTAATGATTAAAAGAAAAATAATTTGTCAGATTGAGGTAACTGTTGCCAAGGTTATGTAAACAAAACCTCCCTTCCAACAATGTGAGGTAACAAACATCTCAGTGGATTAAAATTCATAAAATGAACGTAAATGGTGTAAGTAATGTGTTGTTTAACATCGCCACCTGCTGTTCATAATCGGTAAATACATGTAAAGTATACATACATTTAAAGCCTTTAGTGAGAGCTCCATGTGTTTCTTATATTTTAGTAAGAAATTAATGCCAGAAATTTTAAAAGAGGATATATATAGTGTTCCACATTATTAATCCTAATACATATTCTTTATCACAACATGGCTAATGATCCAGTTTCAGCTATAAAATTACTCTATAAAATAAAAATGACTCAGCATATAACTTACTGAAAATCTGTCATTGTTTTTCATATAGCACTCACATTTTTAGAAACACTTAGCTAATGAAAACATAAAAGCATCTGGGATTGGCATCAGCTCTAAGGTGACAGCTAAGTAGATTCAATAACACTAATACAATTGGGTTAATAAAGCACAATGGTGTGATTGAGAGAAAAATAGCATCGCCACAATACAAAATGACATCAGTGTAGCCGACTCACTTATATTACATTAATCATGACAACATCATGTCTATATTCAAAATCTAAGTCATGAATATGCCATGGGCACAACAAATCAGTAATAATTTTCGGGTCAAATTTGGTCAAAAACTGTAATGCAAGTTCAGAAATTTGTTCAAAAGAGGTGAATGCTGGTAGGTCACATTTTTATCTAAAAACAAATTCTACTCTACCTGTCCTTGGTTTGGCTTTATTAATAATCCAATTTGTTAAAATCAAGTTTAATGTTAAGTGCATTTCAAGAGAATTTCTTTTTTTTTTTCTTCTTTAAAAAAAAAAAAGAATAATAATAAAATTAGTGCAAAGAACCAAAGAAAATTAGAACAAGAATAGAAACCTTCCATGCATTGGAAGAAGCGGGAGAGGTCATGAGTAGAGGGCAGGGGGAAATAAGCATTTATGAAGCTGCCTAGCATCCTAATAAGAATGAGGAAGGGATTTGATGGGTTAGGTTGGTTCTAACGGGAAATAAGCAGCAGTGAGGTTACAGACAGTATTGAGGGACATAGACGTACAAACATACAGCGAGCTCTATCACAGACATCTATTTCAGGTGTTTGAACTTCAGGTTTTTCTCAGCAGTAAATGTTTAGGTTTTCAAACTCAAACTTTTAAGAATTTTGCAAAGTCTCTACAGATGTTTCAACTTATATGAAAACCAATTTTTGCACTTGGAAAAACCTGCCAAGTATATTGAAAATAAATCTGGGTGCTACACTACCAAACATATCTCATGTTAATATTATGTACTGAATGCAATCCACATCATAGCTTATTTAAAGTATTTTGGTTTGTTGCTGCATCACCTGTGGCCCGAGACACTGGGATAGGCTGCATTCCCTTTGAGCAGGTGAGCTCTGAGCTTTCTCGTCTAACTAGGCAATTGCAGCAGGCACATGATTAAGGTTATGAGATTTATTCTTTAAAGGTTACTGGGCAATGAACCACAGTAGTGTTATAGCATTAATGATCAATTACAAACACATGCATGCATGCATAAAAGACTGAAGACCTTTAGATTCTGGTGAACAAAGTAAGTGAATTCCAATAGATTTACAGGAATATAAATAATGTTGATATTATTGTTAATGATATGTTATTGTTATAGATATGTTAGATATTGTTATAGACAGATATTATTGTTATAGATAACATACAATAGTGCCTGTCTGAGCATACTTTTAGCAACCCAATGGAGCCGATCCAAAAACAGAATATTTGTATTAATTAAACCACTATACAAAGAAAGGACAGTTCCTGAAATATCACGGTTGCTAAATCTACCCCATTTTGGTTTAGAGACTAAAATTATATACAGCAATAGCTGTATAATGATATACAGCTCCTCTTTGTGAATTTCTGAGAAAATAATTTTTACAGATCACCAGAATACAAGTGATTGACATAAATAGGAGAGGAAGTACGTATGTTGACCAAGACCTGCATATTTAAGTTAACAGTTGAAAATGGAACAGCAGGTAATTAAATCAATACTGATCAGGGTTATTGATCACTGAAAACTTAGGTCAGTGTATAAGAATGATTGTGGATCTTAGTTTTTCCAATGCGTTCCCATTATTCTTGCATGCAAAGCAAGTACAAAAATCCATCTTTTTAATTCAGACTACATAACTGATGAACACATTAACTCATTCTTTTGTTTATGTTGTAAGTTTTTGAAATGTTGTTCAAATCAGTTTCAGCTGATGTGGTCCTCTATAATGCTACGTGAAATAACCTGTTCCACAATAACACAAGTCAAGTCATCTTTATTTATATAGCGCTTTATACATTACAGATTGTGTCAAAGCAGCTTTACAGTGTTAAACAGGAAAATAGTTTGTCAATAATGCAAGAAGACAATAATCATATGTATCTATCATACACAACTATCATATGTATCTACTTTAATGCACTGCTGTGTGTGTGTGTGTGTGTGTGCGTGTGTGTAAGGGTAGGTCTACAAATGTCTGGAACACACTCGTAATAATTAGACAGTATTGATGTCATTGTGTTGAAAAGTCTGTGGGTTAAAAGGAAGGCTAGCTACTGTAATTACATCTCTTGCTCTCTATCTGAGTGCATTTTGGCTAATTATTCTCCCCCTCGTGACCACTGTAGCATCTAAAAACCATTCTCTAGGTATTTATCAGCGTTAACACTGGGAGGTGATGCTTTCAGAGAAAAGCATTATTGCACTGGCTGGGAAATACAACCAAAGCTATATTAAAATAAGTATAATGTTAAAAATTAAACTTGTTCTAAGGGTGCATGTGTGTAAAGGTTTACCTGTGTCCTTTGTGTAAGCCAAATGAGTTTATTCTGTTCAGTACCTATGTGCATATTGCAAAAATTGAAAGTTCAGCCTGAGATTGAAAGAATTAGTATAAGTGAAGAAGAATTTCCAAGACTAATTCAGTCTGATGATTAATCTCTGTCTGGAAAGTGCCTTGGTCACCAAGGCCTAAAGGTGCAGTAAGTAATTACATTGCTCTGATCAATCATTTTATACTGTGTGACTTATACTGAGAAGTCAATCATGATAAAATAAATTCCATAAGGAAAAGTTTCCATTAACAGGGGAAGTACAGGAGGCTAATGTGAGACTGACCATCTGAGCTCAACATATTAACAGTCAGGTTAACACACAAAAATCAAATAAGTTCAAATGTGTGCGTGGGCCGTAAAGACAATTACATTTCAGTAACATGTATTGATTCTGCTCTGCTTGACACTATCAAACAAGGTCACTGAATAACTGAACTGAACTGATCTGAAAACTGCTACTATATTATCTTCTATTGAGCGTCTTTTTAGCTCAAATGGAAGTCTTAATTCTAATTAAAATTAATGATTAATTAATCCCTTTTGTTGACACTTGCATAGGTTTTTATTTTTATTTTTGTCCCCGTTTACTACAGTAAAACTGCTTTGAAGCAATCTGTGATGTATTGCTGTTTTCTTAGATGCCTTTGAGTGAAACAGCCAGTAGGTGTCTCCAAAAACACAACTGTAGTTCAGCAACAAGTCA